TCATATTCAGCATCCTTATATTTGTTAGTCCCAATAAAAAAAATAAATTTGATAAACAATTTATTCGGATTATCCTTAAATCACACGAGGGACTTGAGGTTCCATACCAAATCCTATAGACCAAGTCATCCAGTAACAGGCAGCCTTGATAGTCATCTTTAGTGAATCTCATTCACATTTCATCTCTCTTTTTCTATCGTTTTCTTTGTCTTTTCTAGAGGGGTTAACTTCATTTTATATAGAACACATTTATTTTGTAACTCTCACAATAATGATCTATATGAGTTGAGATCCAAGTGTAACTCTTGAATTTCCTCTAATATTTTTGAAACACTACCTAATATTGGCCGTCGTCCCTTGAGTTTCCTCTAAGGATCACATCCAATTGTGTTTCAAAATAATTTGTAAGCTCCAATTGGAAAAGTCTTCTTATTTTGGTAAGTTCTTTATTGCCTTAAATTAGAAATTTATTTGCATTCTATTTTATCTTAATTGCAAGAAACCAACGCAAATCAGTGTGTGGTCCTATTTCAAAATGTAAGTCTCTCTCCCTCTTCAAATTTAAGTTTCTCTCTTTACCTAAGGATAAGTAAGTCTCTCTCTTCAATGGACGTGAAGGACACATTCATTAGCTTGTCATTTACACCATGGGCCATGAACCACATAAACACTATCATGCTCATGTCCATACCCATGGGCATCATTAAAAAGTTGCGGTGATGTTAATACTATAAGACATTATTTTATATTTTAGCTAAATCTTTTAATGCACATAAGGCAGTTTACGTAATCTCAGGCAAAGCTCTATATCCATTCATCTAACCATTTGTATGAAAATATATGGAGAGGAAAAGAGAGATGCACTCTCTCATTGCCCATGTACAAAAAGAGAAATTTGGTGTTCGCTATTTACTTTTCTATTTCTAATATGGCCTTTTAGCAGTTATACATATTATGACAAGACAACTGTTTATGTAAAAAAAAAATGCTTGATTTGAAATATTTCATGGTGATCAATGCTTATGAATATTCCAAGTTCAACAATATATGTATATTTGTGATAATATTCTTTTACCTCCATCATTTTTTTTGTTACAAGATTATGCATTACAACATCCTTGGAAAGTGTAAACTTATTGGCCATGTTGTGTAAGAATATTTTGATTGGATTGATAATGTTGTTCATTATTTTTAACCAAATTGTGACTTATTTTTATTTATTTTGCTTACTCTTCCTTATATTTAGAAAACTAAATTTGTACCCATGAGGATGTGATGCAAGATATTAGTTTTTCATTGAGATGTAGTAACCATTGGCACCTTATAATGCTCTATGTATATCCACATAACATTAAAATATTTAATGATATATAATGTTAGATTGAATTATCATATTGTTGATAGCTATTCATTGGTTAGTGGGAGTAAATCATCATTTATCAAATTAGAATTGAATTTGTTATGTCGATGATGATCAATGCACATTAAGAACATTATTAAATTACTCTTTCAATGAGCATTCTCATTGCATTCAAGAGCACTTGAACCTCCACCACCTAAATCTTTGTCAAATTAGTATTGTTTTTATAATTTTGACCTATGATCTGAATCTGAGCTTTGGACTTAAAGGCCTGTAGTGGATGACATGTTTAAGAAACATGTGGAAGCATTGAGTCTTTTTCTCTTGGCTAAAAGGTAGATGTAAATAAAATCCAACGTATTGGTGAATAATTGGAAGGTTATATGTGGAATATCATGCAAATAACGTGAGGCAATACCATCTACAAGGTTATTGACGTTAGGAAATCTAAGTATGGTGTATAACCACATTGACAGGTTATATGTGAAATCTCGTGCAAATAGTATGAGGCAATGCCATATACAAGGTTGTTGAGGTAGGGAAATCTAAATGTGATGTTTGACCACATTGGAATGGTACATGTGAAATCTCATGCAAATAATATGAAGCAATGCCATATACAAGGTTGTTGAGGCCAAGAAATCTAATTGGGGTGTATGACCACATTGGCAGGGTATATGTGAAATCTCCTGCAAGTAACATGAAGCAATACCATATACAAGGCTGTTGAGGCCGAGAAATCTAAGTGTAGTGTATGACCACATTGGCAAGGCTTATACGAAATCCAATGCAAGTAGCATGAGAAAATGCCATAGACAATGTTGTTGATGCCAGTAAATTTAAGCGTGGTATATGATTACATTGTAAATGTATATGTGAAATCTCATGCAAGTAGCATGAGGTAATGCCATATAAAAGGCTATTGAGGCCAGGAATTTTAAGTGTGATGTATGACTACCCTAGCTGGGTATATGAAAATCCCATGTGGAAAGCATGAGGCAATGTCATATACAAGATGACAAAGGGCCTTCAAGCTAAGTGGGAGTTGTTGGAAATGTGGCCTATCAGGACCTTTTCTCTCTAAAATTTATTTTTCAATAATGGTACAAAAGCCATATTGAAGTATGTGTGTAATCCCATGTGCTTAACATGAGGCAATGCCACATACTTGAATCCATTTTTGACCTATAATAGGATGTTGCACTGGAGGAAAAGGCCAGCGGTGTGTTTGAATTTCTTGTAAGAATTTGTTTTTATATTATAGATATAAAAAGTTTATTTAATTTATAAATATCTTTTATCAAATTGTGGGAATGCTTGGATGATATCCTATCATGTGAGTCATTACTAGACTAATGACAGGTTTAGCTCATTACATACAATTAACAATTTGGTGACAACTTGTTAATCTTAATTAGCTGCACTTAAGAGAATTAAAGTAGAAATTACACTTGGATCTCAACTCCTATAGACTATGAATGCGAGAGTTACAAAATAAATGTGTTCTCTATAAAAAGAGGTTAACCACCCCTCTAGAAAAGACAGAGAAAATGATAGTAAAAGAGAGATGGAATGTGAATGAGATTCACCAAAGATGACTTTCAAGATTGTTTGTTACTTGATGACTTGGTCTAGATGATTTAGTACGGAACCTCAAGTCTTTTGTATGATTTAAAGATAGATCCAAGTAAATTGTTTATCAATTTATGTTTTTATTTTTTTATTGAGACTAACAATATCTTTATGCTATTTCTTGTTTCTTCACTATTTCCTCACAACTCATTCTTGTTCATCTTAAATGATTCAGTTTTAGATAATTTGAATAGCTGAAAAAAAAATGGTTGAGCAATGAAATCAATTTTCTTTAATAATTCGCCCAAAGCTCATTCCTTTTAGGGTTTCCATACATGCTAAATATAACGTTCTCAACAACCACCAAGACAACAACCAATAAAACATTGTGAATGCCATGCAACCTAACCACCCACCCGCTTCCTCCAATCCTAACCCTAGCGTAGACGCACTACCTTACAAAACAATGACATCCACCCCTACCAGCATCCCTCCGTAGTCACCCAGGAAACAACCCTCATAATCTTAGAGTATATCCTTTGAAACCATCTCCTACATTCATTAAAATAAAACTTTGTTTAAGTACTCTTGAGATTCTAAAATTTGAAATGTAAAGTTCTCAACCTAGCTACCAACTTTTAACTAATTGAAAAAACAAAGGAAAAGATTCGTACACTTTGTAAGTGCTCGAAGAAAAATATGTTTCATATTGTATAGAAATTTAGGATGTCAAAATTTTACTCCCCATTTAGAAAATGAAAAAAGTTTATATAAGGCTGCAACCTTAAAATGTAGAATTACATATGCACTTAAAAAATCCATCAAAAAAGGTTGTTTTAATGTTAAAAAACCTGCTAATCGATCATCTAGGCAACGAGATGTATGGATATTTTTTTAAAAAGGATTTTGAGTCCAAGAAATAGTGCAACTTGCAACACAATATCTAGACCGTCAATTTTCAATTTTTTCATATGTTTATAAATCTACTTGATTTTAACCATTTTTTGAGTTTAAAATTTATAACTATGAAATAGATTTTGAGATAATCCTAATAATTTTTTACATCAAAATTACATATTATGATAAAATTTGGAGGTGCGCCTTAATTGGGTTGTTTAAGATTGCAACCTTATAGAAACCCTACCTTTTAGACATACTTATGCGATGATTCTAGTTGTTAACCATAATGTGGATTTCAAAATTTCACCTTGAAAACATCTTGTTCTCGTGTGGATCTCAAAATTTTGCATTAAAAAATAAATTATCATCTTTTATATTTTTATGCGGTATTTAGAACTTGGTGATCCGGGTTAAGAATCAGTAGGAATAAAACTACTTTTAGAAATGTATTGGTAGTGGCCTATTCGCTCGAAAGACCCCTCCTTTCCTATTTTGCTTTGCTCATTGTATCTAAGCTTTTTACCTTCTCAATCTTACTATAAAATTTTATTTTATTTTTAAATTTTTAATATTATTTGAATTACCGGTTCGAATATAATCCGACACAAATATGAGGAGTGGAGATCCATCCCATCAATGATTTAAAAAATAGAGCGGTGATCAAGATCAGGCACTCCAAAAACTGATTCGAATCAATAAATTGACAGTCTAACTCACCGTTTTATGTGCAAAAAAACAATGAATTGGAGAAAAATCACTTGAAAAAATAATTATCCGACCGAAAAACCGGTTGGGTCATTGAATTTGGTGGTGGTCCAAATCGTTGTTTTTGCTGTAGAGAATTGCTGATTTACTATCCGAAACTGCCAATTTCTTTCTAGACTCCCTTTCTTCTATACACAAAAATAGATCAGGGTGACCAATTCCCACTCTGGATCGAATGATTCCGTGCCGACCCGATCAAAGTTGTTTAAATCATAGTATCCCATACATTGCGGTTGGGAAAAAACGTATTTTACCCCCAAGGGAGTATCATAAAATGCATAGAGTCATAAACCGTGAATATTCTGAGATGCCCCTGGTCCATTTTCATTGGTTTTGGGTGGGCATTTTCGTACTTTCTCTCCCAAGAGAACCACGAGCAGTTGTGCGATACTCATATTTGACAAGCCTAATTGTTCGTCAGAGAACTCCAATGAAAGCGGATCCTCCAACAATGGCAGCAGCAGTAGCTTTGTAGGCTTCTTTTTAGAGAGAGAGAGAGAGAAGCTGTAGCAGTTCTGCAGAAGAGTTATTCAGTTCAGGAGAAGAAAGACAGAGAGCGGCCATGGCTTTTTCTAATGGCGTGAATGTCCAGAACAATAGCACTAGCGGATCTGCTAAAGCGAACCCAGGTCGACTGGCGAGTGTTTACAGCGAGGTTCAGACGAGCAGGCTCAACCATCCTCTCCCTCTCCCCTCCATTCTCACCAAACCCTTCAAGCTCCAAGATGGACCTCCAAGTTCTGCCGCCGGAAATCCTGGTACCTCACTTCTATCTCTTTCTCTCTCTACCCCTCTCCCCTCTTTCTCTCTCTTCATCCCTCTTAGACCCATGCCAGAAACCAGTACATACAACATGCAGGCACTGTATCTGGAAAATCATGTCATAGAAGCAATGAATCTATACCCCTGCACACTTTCTCTTTCTCTTTTACCCCTGCACACTTTCTCTTTCTCTTTCTGGTAAACCGTATCAGAAATTTGAAATTATTGCGTATCTCTCTCTCTCTCAATCCATATCAGAAAGGAGAACTTCCATTCACTGAGAAATCCATATCAAAAAATAGAATTAGCCACTCACCCTCTCGCTCTCTCGCTTCCCTTAATGCCACACCAGAGACGAAACCCATATCAGGAACCAGTACAAAGCACATGCAAAACACTCTCCCTCTCTCTCTCGCGAACCGATATCGGAAATTAGGAATCAATCTCTTTCTCTCTCAATCCATATCAGTAAGTAGAACTTCGATGCAATCCACTCAGAAACTATCAGAAATTAGAACTTTGATGCAATCCACTCAGAAACCCGTATCAGAAATTAGAATTAGCTACCTCTCTCCCTCCATCTCTCTTAAAGGCCACATAAGAATGATAATTAATGATAACAATTATAAAAAAAAAGAATGATAATTAATCTCCCTTTCTCTCTATCTGTCCAAAAAAGAAATTATATGTATTTATTTGGGGATGGATCTAAATGCATTCTGGTGACCCATCCCTTTTGTTTTTTTAGATGAGATTGCGAAGCTCTTTCCCAATCTCTTTGGCCAGCCATCAACTTTACTGGTCTCGAGCGAGAACCGTGCCCTCAGATCTGATCAGAAGCTTAAGATTGGAGTAGTTCTTTCTGGTGGACAGGCCCCTGGTGGTCACAATGTCATATCTGGCATCTTTGGTTAGTACATTTTTACTTTCTGGATATTTGTTTCATTTTAGTGTGAAATATTTACTTCTCTTTTCAATTTTGGTTTTTGGGGTTGAAGATTACATGCAAGGTCTCACTAGTGGAAGCACACTCTATGGGTTTAAAGGAGGCCCTGCTGGCATAATGAAATGCAAGTATGTCGAGCTTACATCAGATTTTATCTACCCATATCGAAATCAGGTATTCTTTTTCCTCCATCTGACTGTCAGGAAATTCCAAAGTAATTAACACAAGCTTGTCACCTCTACCCAAAAAAAATAAAAATAAAAAATCTTGTTACCTAATTCTCCCCATTTTGGAAATAGGTAATTTATCAGAAATATACCTTAATTTTTGTCGAATTGAAAAAAAACCCTCAACTTTCATAAATCTTTTTTTCCTCAAAGTTGATATTTTTTGACCAAAATAGCCTGCACAGTATTCGTATTACCGTAGTACGGTACAATAGTACAATAAGCATTACAGTACTTTAGGGCCAGTTTGGATGTCAAATAAAAAAAATTAACATTGAAAAAATTGTTAGTTTTTTTATTCTTAATCGAGGAATTTGGATTCTACCCTTCCAAAATTGTCTTGCCATTCCAAAAGGTTTGTACAGAACCATGAAATCCAACCCACTTGAAAGTAAAGACCAGTACCCCTACAACCCCCATTTAAGTAAATTGTGGTTTTATGGTTTTTATCTTTATGAAAAGAGAGGAAAAAAACACAAACGGACAATGACGGCTACCAGAGAACCAAATTAGGAACACCCTCAAAGAGTTGAAAGGTAGATAAAGAAACTGCCCCAGAAATTGACGATTTCAGATGATGGGAGCTGAAGAGAGTGGCATGGGCTTGGCTTTTGAGATGGTTTTAGAGAGAGATCATACTCAATGCAGAACCTGCAACCCGAGCTTTTCGCTTACAAAATTGAGCTCTAAAACAAGGCATATTGATCCCGTAGCAGCGTTCCTCTGACTTGAACAAAAAATTGAGAAAAGACCCCAACTTTCCAGTTCGTTAGAGAGTAGAACCTTCCAAGAGATTGGTTTACTGAGAACTGCAATACCATTAAGTTCAGCCCTTTATTTGGGAGAGAGGACACTAAGGGGTCATTCTTCCAGTGAATTAGCAAGCAGTCATTCTTCCATCAATCTTCTTTTGAGGTGAGATGGGGGCCTCTTTTGCAGAATGTCGATGTTTGAATAGAACAAAGCCTTAGCCCCTCAATTTTTCAGTCGATTTGCTAGGGACTGCATTGCAACCTTTGATCTCACCATAACTGGAGAAGGTGGAAGCTAGGTTTCAGAGGTGGTGTCCCAACCTAAACCATGGACAAAGAGCTTGCGATGAGATGGGCCCTTGTCTGCAAGACTGCGAGCTTCGTTGAGGATATTGGGATCTAAGGAAACTGCTGGGAGGAGATGAGGGAAAAGCAGGGAGGAGAGAGAAGAGCGTGAGAGTTAGAGAAGCCTAAAGTTGAGGGAAAAGCATGGAGGAGAGGGAAGAGCGTGAGTTAGAGAGAGAGGCGCTTGAGGCTAGAGTTTTAAGAGAAACACGACTTAAGACAAACAGATTTGAGTCTGACTTGAATATTTTTGGCACGTGGTTTTGGGGGTAAAATGATATCTTTTTGGGGGTAAAATATTTTCTCGGCATCAAAAAATATTGTAATTTTGGGTACATCCAAATTGGCACTTAAGTACCATAATGACCAGGCTAATCATTACGGTACCACATCTGAGCATTACGGTCCTTAAAGTACCATAATGCTTCGCCTGGTCATTACGGTACTTAAAGTACCATAACTTTTAGCCTGGTCATTACTTTACTTAAAGTACCGCAATGCTTAGCCTGGTCATTACGGTAGTTAAAGTATTGTAATGCGATAGTCATTACGGTAATACGACTACCGTAAAGGCTATTTTGGTCAAAAAATACCAAAATTGAGGAAAAAGGGTGTAGACAGGGTTTATGAAAGTTGAGGCTTTTTTCCAATTAGGCAAAAATTAAAGTATATTTCTGATAATTTCCCTTGGAAATATTCCTATTTTCCTTTTCTCTTTTTATGTTTAAGCAACCTGAGAATGACAACCTCCTTCCCACTACAGTCCTCCACTCTACCACTACATTCCTTTCTTATATGCAAAAATATCCCATTCTTTGCATGGGTGATATTGCTTTCAGGCTACAAAATATATTTTTGGGACTTTCTGGGGCTTCTCTTACTTTTTTACTGAATTTGCCGAATAATATCATATTTGTGTGGAACTTTTGGAGCTAGACGTATTCATATCATGAGAAAACATTCAAAGGGTTTTCTTGATGAGTCGAACTTGCCTTATCGCCTGATACGTCATCCATTAATATTTCTTGTGATGCTTCTCTATGGTCTAGTGTTCTTTGATTTTATTTGAGATGTTATGCTTTAAGAAATATTTATTATTGTCCAATTGTAAACTCTACAGGGAGGTTTTGATATGATCTGCAGTGGAAGGGACAAAATAGAAACTCCAGAACAGGTTATATTCTAATACTGTTGTTCATTTTGTCTGTCATTCCATATTGATGCTTTAGGTTACTTTTGGGCTTTGTGAGTGTCCCTTGTTTTATTTCATAATCCAGTTGTATTTAAAATGCCAATCGAATGACAGAAATCTAATGTTATGTGCTTTGTTTATTTAGTTCAAACAAGCTGAGGAGACGTCATTAAAACTTGAGTTGGACGGACTTGTAGTCATTGGTGGTGATGACTCGAATACTAATGCTTGTCTCCTTGCTGAGAACTTCAGGTATTGAGTGATGAGATCAAATGGATTCAAATATGTTATGTTACTTACCCAAAAAAAAATGTTATGTCAATTATTTACAACAGAAACTTTGCTTCCTGCTTTGTTGGTTTAGGTATAATGACATCACATCCTAAAGAAATAATTTAATGCTAAGAAGCTATATAAGATATAACAGACATAGTTAACATTAATTGCTTGAGGAACCTCGTGGGATGGAATTTGAATTGTTTATAGGGCCAAGAATATCAAGACGCAGGTGATTGGTTGTCCAAAGACGATAGATGGTGATTTGAAAAGCAAGGAGGTTCCAGCAAGTTTTGGATTTGACACGGCATGCAAGGTGATCACTTGTTTATAATGAACCTTTTATTTGCATGTCATCTTTTATCCATTGTACACATTGATCAGTTTTTTTTTTTTTCCTTTTATAGTTGGGATATATGTTTCAATTGTAACAATATAATTTTGTGAGGGGTACTAAATGGTCTTGGGACCTGAGAGTGTGCAATATGATTTAAATTTGTATTTGGCATATTGCTTACAACTTGATATTTATTTCATCCATGGAATACACCACTCTAATGGTGATCTTAGTAATTCCCGCTTCAAAATTTCTGACCACAGAATGCCCTTACGAATATAAAAATTATACTAACAATACTCGCTTAAAAGTTTAAAGAAAGGGCATATTTGTAATGTTGAATTATTTCTCAAATTCAAAATGATTAAAAAAGTCAAAGGAATTGTTTTAAACTTGAGATTGACTTTTGGACGTAATAAAAATGCCCTTCCTCAAATACGTGAACTAGTTTTGGTCAAAAGAGATTTTGGAATACAAAAGGTAATTTTATGGTTAAATACTTCGGAGTAAGAAATCCTAAGGTCACCACTAGAGTGGTATATCCAATAAATATCATTATTATTTTGTGTCCTAAAATACATACTCTATTCTTTGAGAGTTCTAAGACTAAAAAATAATCATATTGTTACCTTGCCATTTTTATATCTGCCTCTTGTCTTCTTTGGGGGGAACATGGCCTTTGCAGAGCTGTTCGTATGTTCTATGAGCTTCGTGGTACATCAATCAGGAGGTTGTACAAGTGAAAAAAGCATAAAAACTAAATCAATTAGATGTGTTGTATAATATAAATATTAATGTGCTGTAACAATGGGAATTGAGTTCCTATTAATTAATTTTAGCCACTAATAATGATTACAAGCAATTGAAACATAGTCATCGACATTTAAATAAGTTTGTGATATCCTTATGTCATATTAGGTTTGTTTATATAGCTCTCTCCCTCTCTAAACACACATAGATAATACATATATGCGTACACACATATGTAGGGCTTGTTTGGATGTCCTCATTATCATTGATAATTCAATGTTTCAATAAAATTATTAATAATAATGAATTATCTGTTGTTTGGCGGTGTTCATTGTAAACTTATCTGGGATAAACTTCAAGGTTGTTTTACTTTATATATTTGAGGAGCTGTTTTTACTTTATTGAGAATAATTTGCTTAGATTTATTCTCTCTTGACCAGCAATAGTTTATAATAGCTGCAAAGTGCCATAGAAAGTTAAATAATTAAATAATATTATATAGTGCCATAAAAGGCTAAATAATTAAATAAGGAAGCATCTACGCAACGTCTATGGGCAAGATGCTATAGTGATCTCGGCTATAGGCCCATCGACGTACAAAAAAATTGGACGGCGTGCGTTTTTCGACCTCCACGGACCTAGTATGTCCGTGACGGACATACTAAGCCCGTGGCAGTTAAAAAATCACGCGGAACCGCAACGGACGGCACACCGTCCGTTGTGGATCCGTTCAATAAACCGCCATGGACATAGCATGTCCTTGGCAGTGGAGAAACACTGTAGCACTTCACCTATAGTCGTTTATTAGGTTTTTCCATTAAATAATGTTATATATAATATAAGTGTGTAACAAACAATTAAAACAATAATATTATCCATAGTAATATTGATTTCCAATAAGAGAGCCCATTCCAAATAAGTTAATTGTCATCCAAACAAGCCTACAATGTCTATGTTGTGCTTTTCATGTTTCATTTATTATTTATTTATTTGGTAAGACCGGTTTATTACATATGGATGTGTAGGGTTATAATACTATATATCAAAAGTATAATGTTAAACAGCAAGTCGCATGGATAGTTTCTCCCGTACATACCTCATTTTGTTGGCAGTACCTTGTGTCAAGCTAGTTAATCAGGTGGTCTTAAGCAGTGACATGACAAAACCCTCACTTTGATCAAATTAAAGGGGTCACCTTCTTTATCTAGCATGTTCAAGCCTCCAGATTATTGTAAAATTGTCTTTCACCCATCTGATAGTGTTGAATGAATTGTGCAAGTAATGAAGAGGCCCAAAAAGTGTTTCCAGATGTGCCACAAATCTAGTAAAGATGGGCCTGATATCTACCTTAGAGGTTTTTGATTGCCCAACGGTTTGGAGCAGGAGTTGAAGTGCGGATTGGAATATATTAGTATACGACAAACTGATGATTTTCTTTATCTATAGCCAGTTAGCAACACAATTATAGTTTTAATAGTTGCATTGCTTGCTGGCTATAAATAAATAAATACCTACTTCGAAGAGTATATATAATCTTTACATACTTTAAAGAGTTATAAACCGTAGTCGCAAAAGGTTGGGAACAAGATCCCAAAAAGTTGGGATCTCAGCCGCTAACATATGCATTGTATGGGCAATACTCCCAACCATTGGGATCTTCTAGCATTTCATGATCCCTGACTCCCTGATCTTGATTCCTCTCTTGCACTTGCTCTGGCTCTCGAACCCAATGATGACATTTTATCAAAATCCTAGTTACCTAGGTAAAATCTTTTAGGAATATAAATAAAATTGGAATTCAAATGTTTCAAATGTGGCAGGTGTGCGTCTCCTTGAGGGCGAAATTGTCACACCCATGCTCCTAGGGATGCATGCCACTTGGGCCCCATAGCCAGTGGGCTCTAGGTGATTCTCTTTTGCACCCTCTCTGTGGCACATAAGTGGCCACGCATAGGACCCATTTGTGCCTCACATATATTCCCAATTTCTGCCCACTAAATTGCATTCCAATTAAAAAGTATTTTAAATCCATAAAAGTCCCTTTTTTATGCCAATAAGTTTTCTAAAAACTAAATCATATTTGCTAAACAAAACTAAAGTGAGCAATTTTAGAAATTTTTTTTCTCAAAAACCCTTGAAAAGCCAATAAAAATACCATTGGAGAGTGTGCTAGTAATGGGGAAAAACTCTGTTTATGCATTCCATTACTAGCCCCTATAATTGTGCCCCAAACTTCAAACCATCATGACCCTTATGTTTCCCATGCAATGGGCTCTTGTTTGGCATAGTAAAGCTTGCCAAGGCATAGAGGAACCATGGTGTAGCCATAAATTCCAGGTGTTCCCCAAGAAAAATCTAGTCACAAAGACCAGTCGAGTCATGCTGACAAGACATAGCATCACATAGACGCGGGGGATCTTTCTAGGTCACAAAGATCAGTCTAAGTCACATAGGCAAGACTCAAGCATATGCCTCCCTCATGGATCACACTGAACCAATTTCTCTCACTATCGGCACTCCTGCACCATGCTTTTATCCCTGTCCAAGGTAGGGATCAGTTGGTATGGTCCCTCGTCCCTTCAGGGGAGTTTACAGTGGCCTCTTTCTATAAGAAACTCACCCAACCCCCTATTTTTCCTCTTATTCCCATATCGGTCCTCTCTTAGGTTTGGCAGACTATCGCACCTCCCAAGGTACAAACATTCAATTGGATAGCCGGCTCCCACAAGGCACTCACTGTCAATCACCTACAAAAGAAAGGAATCCCAATTCCCAACAGGTGCATCATGTGTTTGTGCAAGGAGGAATCCAATAACCACCTTTTCATCCATTGTAATCCTGCACATGACCTTTGGAGCCTCTTGCTGCAACTGTTTGGCATCCTTTGGGTAACACCACCAACGGTCAAAGATTTGCTCGCCTCGAATTACGCCTCACACTGCCCTAAAGCATGCTGAATTCTATGGAAGGCGACAGTGGCAGCAACCATATGGATACTCAGGAAAGAAAGGAATCCCAGAAGTTTTCAGGGGTAGGTCTGCCTAGTCCCATCCCTCTTCCATAAGGTTACATCCTTAGTAACCTTTTGGGCGTCAAACCACCACCTTTTCAAGGGTATCCCATCGACTTCCTTCCTAAGTCAGTGGCAGAATATTCTTCTACATAGACCTAGGAAAAAGGAAATATTAAGCGACTGGAAACCCCCCCCTCAAGGAGCAATTAAACTAAACTTCGATGGGTGCTCTTTGGGAAACCCTAGCCATGCAGGTGTGGGTGGTGTCTTTAGGGATCGCCAACATAACATCCTCTTCACCTACTCTGAATACCTTGGCCAGTGTATCAAAAAGTGCTAGGTGGGGCCCAGAACCCGGGCAGCTGCCAGTTGAAATTTGAAAAAAAGTGAATACCATACCAAATTATTACCAATATAATACCATATTTCAAGTTGAAAAAAAAAAGATGGATGTTGAGAAGACAATTTTGATAATCCATATTGTTAAAACAGTAAACTGTAAAACCATACAAGTATAGGTAGGATATAAAAGTCAACACTCAACACAACTGAAATTTAGAAAATATACAGTATACCAAAAGTCAACACTCATGACTCAACACAACAGTCAACAGACTCAACACTCAGCACCAAGGGGCAAGAGTCTTCATTCGTCGTCGTCATCTTCATCATCATCAGAAGGAATATCAATAGGGCAATCCTCATCATATGCATTTGAGTTGATGCCATCATCATCAGAGTCATCTCCCTCTTCAATATAACACTCGTCCTCCTCTGTTTCTTTTGAATCTTCCTCTACCTCCTCCTCTTCTTCTACCTTCCTCTTACTAGTTTGTGCAGATGAGGCCCTAGAAGTCTTGGCTGCTCTACTCTTTTCTTTGTGCTTCTCTGAACTCAAATATTGTATAATTTCCTCCTTGGTAGCCTCAGGAACATTTTTACAAGGGGCAAAATCCTCCTTAGTACCGGCAATGTGTTTTTTAAATCGGTAAATACCCCCATTAGTATCCTTTCCACAATAATTATATTTAATACGATTATCACTTGGATTCTGATTATAACCATACTTCCAACTTGGATCACCACTCCGTCTAGAACCTGAGAAGATACTTCCATAGAACAAGGCTTATTTTCATCTTTTTTTGGTTATTCAAAATTCAGAAGATGTCTAATCTCATCTTGAACTGCTTCAGGAACCTTTGTACAAGAAGCACAA